CCGCTGAATTTTCCTCGACGAGGCGCGTCGCTAGCGGGACGCCCTGCGGCGTCTTATTTGCACCGGCGGTGGCGGCACGCGAAATTGCCGCCAACCGAGAGAGGAGCCACGGAGGCGCTTCTCACGGGAGACAAGCCGCTTCGCGGAAGATCCAACGCACGGACCTTGTTACCTCTTCCGCGTGTTCGGCCGCGCAGCAGCCGCACGGCCGTGGAAATTACCGGCTTCCGCTCGGCCTCGCGCTGGAAGCTGGCGGTCGGCCAGCAGAACGAGCGATGGAAGCAGGGAGAAAGAAAGAGAGAGGAGCCCTGGTCCCATTCGCGGCCGTGTGTCGCGGGTCTATTTTCAAATTCGACTGAAGCGGACCGAAGCATTCATCCATCGCGTGCCCGTCGTGCGGCCGAACGTGATAACGCCGGTCGGAGCGGAATGTTGGGAGACACGTGTGTGTGTGTGTGTGTGTGTGTGTGTGTGTACGCGCGGAAAGTCGGCGCCTCGCGGAGCTGTCGGTATTTTGTTCGCGGTATGAACCATTTCGCAGACTCCGTCCCTCCTCCCTTATTTCGCACTTTCGGTAGCTTTTTCCTTTATTTTCACTTAACAAAGGCGATCACCGGGAAAATCGTCTTCCGATAAACCGCTCGTCGAGCGACTCGTGCGGTATCCTGATTTCTTTCTTCATTATCAAGTTCTCACGTTGCTTTCCGCGGAAGACAATGCCTTCGCGTAGAGCCGCGCTGCTAAATCCCACATCGCGAGGCGACATATTTCGCGTATCGAGCCACAGCGACTGGTCGATCGATTATTATCATCGACATCGCGGACGCTCCGAAAGGTCTGTGGATCACCCCGTGAACGGTCGAGGCCATCGTAACAGGACGGCGGCACGAATTGATATCGAGCCGCGTGCTTCGAGACGAAAACGGCCGTCAATATCCACCCGGTCGACGCCGAAACGCGCTCGTCGCTTCGTCAACGAGCGATGATCGAGTGAATCGAAAGGTGACAGCGTGACTGCCGTCGTCGTACACGTCGATCACGAGGCACGCGTAATGTCGAGCGCGCGTCGCGCACGTGTCGCACCCCCTCCCTCCCCTCGCTCCCTCTCACTCTTTCTCTCGCGCGCGCGTCGAAATCGCCGCGCGCGCGACAAAGGCCGAAACGCGCCGAAGCAGGCCTCGTGCCACGGACCGACCGCCGCCTCTCCACGAGAGAGAGAGAGAGAGAGAGAGAGAGAGAGAGAGTTCTCGTCTCCGTTGCTCCAGATTGCGCTTCTAATATCCATTACGTGTAACTTCCTCTCTCGCGGACCTCCACCGTCCCGTCCCCAAAAATACACCTCGACCTCGACCTCGCGTCCGCCGGCGTCGATTCACCCACGAGACCGCGGAGCTCTCGCGAGCCCCGAACAAATTTGCGCACGTGCGCGATCTTTCGGTATCCTCGGATGCACCCAGTAGCCGAAATCACAGCACCGTGTGATCGATACCCCTGGGCCGAATTCCCGAAACAAATATTCCTCTCGACTATTCGTACAGCACAGAGCGACAGCTCATGAGAAAGTGGAGCCGCCAGCTTATTCCAACGCGACGCGGCAAATCGCATGAGAAAGGTCAAAAATGCGCGTGAGAGACGGAAAGTGAGGAAAATTTGTCGCGTGAAAAGCGCAGCGCGAGATCACCGACGACACTCCCCCGCTTTCGGAGTCCTCCTTCTCTCTCTCTCTCTCTCTCTCTCTCTCTCTCTCTCTCTCTCTCTCTCTCTCTCTCTCTCTCTCTCTCTCCCTCTCTCTCTCTCTCTCTCTCTCTCAACCTACTCGTCGTCGCGTCGCGACTCCATTTCTTCGCGGCTAACCCCCGGGAGAAGTACGCGCGCGAGAGACGACCCCGAAGAAGACGAGCACGGGCGTTCGCGTGGGAGCGCGCACCACAGCACACGTCGACGTCGCGCGCGTCAGCACCGACCGACGTGACGCGTCGTCGTCGTCGCCGACGAGGACGAGGGAGGGCGAGGCGCGCGGGCCACGAACGACGGCGCTTCGGCCTGGCGACGTGCGCGGCGGCGGCCGAATAACGACTGGAGGCCGGCCGAAGGAAAGAGAAACACACACCACACGTTCGTCTTCTTCGGCTACCAGTCGAGCACTGTCAGGTGTGCGTCCTCTCGACGCGTACACAGCCCGCTCTGACGCGCACCACCACTACTACCACCACCACCACCGCGGCGGCGGCGGCGGAGCGGCTGCTGCTACTACTACTATTACTACTATTACTACCACTAGCGCGGCTGCTGCTGGCTGCTGCTGTTGCTGTTGCTGTTGCCTCTCCCTCTAGCGCATGCAACGTTAGAGTCGGACGCGACAACAACGACGATGGCAGCGGTGGTGGCGTGGCGGCGGCAACGGCGGCAACGGCGGCGGCGGCAGCGGTGACGACACAACGACGGCGCACGGTTTGTACGCGAGAAGGGGAGCGTTAGACGCGCGCGTTTAGCGTTACCCTGTGGCAGGGTTTTGTGTCACGAAGGTCGAGGGGGTTGAAAGAAACGGGGAGGAAACGGCCGCCACGTGTGTCGAGGAATACGACGCACTTCGGGACTCTTGTTCGGCCCTGGCGCTGCCGAAGCAGCGCTGAAGGGACTTTGCGGCACGGGTATGTCGCGAAGGAGACTCGGCTAATTTTCGGGACAGTGCTTTATCCTCGTAGGATTTTTCATGGTGGTTTCTGTATTTTTCACGCGAGATGACAGCACATGCCGTCGCCCTGCTTTTTTCCGAGTGGAGAAATTTTTCTCCTTTCTTCTCATCGTACGAATCGATCGGCCGATTTTGTGCGCGTGTGTATGTGTGTTTGTGTGTACGTGTATTGCGTGTCTGTTCTGCTGCGTATCGGCATGCGTAATTGGCACACGACGTTACGCCAATAAGAGACTCCGACGAGTCCGCGTTCGCGCGGACTGACCTTGCTCGCGAAAAACCGGCGCGGCATAATTCTGCGGCGGATGCGCGCCGTCGTTCGCGTTAACGGCGACGTGTTGTGGATTCGCGTGCCCGCGGATCTGCCCTTGTCGAGAGAGAGAGAGAGAGAGAGAGAGAGAGAGAGAGAGGGGGGGAGGGGAGGAGAGAGCTATTCCGGCGAAGAGTGCGGGAGGAGGAACGATTTCTTTTTCTCTTTCTTTCATTTTACCGAACGCCTCACTTTGCTTCGGCTAACGTCCGCTCGCGCAAATCAACCCGCCGATAGATTTGACCCTTATCCGGCAGGGCTATTTTTGTAACGCGGTCGGACGGCCAGTCGGCAGGGTGTATCTCGCATCCTGCGCCTTTCCGAGCATTTCGACGCCACGATTTCACTTCCCTGAGCACTCTCTTTCTGTCTCTGTCTCTCTCTCTCTCTCTCTCTCTCTCTCTCTCCCCCCTCTCTCTCTCTCTCCCTCTCTCTCTCTCTCTCCATCTTCGTCGGGAATGAGAATCACGCGGGCAGGCCTCAGAACCGCGATCTGACGCGCAGATATATTCGACGAAGATTTCGCGCGAATGCCTCGTGTCAGTTTCCTGTCTATTCAACATTAATCCATGTCGACGCTAATAATTGTTCCCAATTCTAACATTTTCGTCGCTCGGCTAGAGAATAATATTGTTGCATTTCCGAAGCGTGCAGAGCACACCAAAATCTCCCCTTTCCACCATCGAGTGAGTGATAAAAGAGTGCTAAGCCAGCGTTTCTCGTGATTTCGCGGAGAAGTCTCTCTCATGACGCGCGAGACTCTGCGCGATAGCTTGTGTTCGGCATGTGTGCGAATCCGTTGTTCGGATTAATCCCTGCAAAAGTGCCGGGAAAAGAAGGTGCATTTTCTCAAATCCTAAAAGTGCCGTTTCAAGGGAGAGAGTCCCAGAGAGCAGCGTTAAGCGTCCCTCGTGTTCTCGAGGCGACACGAAGAGAACAAAAAAAAAACGAAAAAAAAAGAACACGATCTCAGGGACGTTGCACATCGCGCTGCCTCAAACGTCGGAAAATTCGACACCCACGTCCCCCGGACGGCTCTCGAGCCCGTCGCCTTATCCGTTGCGGAAGAGAGTGCTGGTGTCTTGCTCCCTTCTTTCCTTCCCTTGACCGCCGCCGAGCACGCTTTCCAGAAGCGACGCGCGCGCCGCACACGTGTATTCGCACGCTGTCATACGGGGAACTATGCGCGGCACCTCGGTTACAATATGTGCACGTCGCCTCGCGATGAATCGAGCGGGCTAAAGGCTGAGAGAGAGGGAGGGAGAGAGAGAGAGAGAGAGAGGGATTGGCACGGTGAGAAAGCGCCGATGGAACAAAGAGGAAAGCCGAGCGCTCTCGCGGCGCGGCGCGGCGCGGCGTTAGGAGAGGAAATCGCCGGTGCGCGCTGTAATAACACCAGACTACGCAGTGGCGTACGTAGCGCATGTCGCCGGACAATTTCCGCAACGCCTTGATCTCGGGGTGAGGAGGGCAAAGGGAGAGGAGAAAGAAAGCCAGGTCGAGAAAGAAAGCAGAAGGAGCGGGGCGAGGCGGCGCGGGATGGAAAAGGAGGAGACGGCGAGCGTACGCCGCGTCGGCTAATTGAACGCAAAATTCGCGCTTTCCGCGGCCGTAAACCGGCCGCATCGCGCCGGCGCTTATTCGACGGGCACGTTAATTGCGGCTCGTTTGCATTGTTTTGCAAACATACGCTGTCTCGCGGTGGCGCATTAATATATACGGCGAACGGTGTAAATTTACGTAAACACCGCCGCGGCGGCGGCGGCGGCGGCGGCGCCGGGCGGGAACGACGGCGGCCTTTAAAGCGCGATTTCAGTCGGTAGACCGAGAGAGTAACCCCCTAACGCCGAGTAAGAGAACGCGCGATGCACACAGGGCAGCGTGCGCGCGCGACGGTTCCTCGAGCGGTGCTTGTCGTGCGATATTCAACGTGCTCGCTTCGCACGGTTAATAAATAAATGCAGGCGGATAGGACACGTGTTGCGTTCGACTCACCGTGCTGATGAGGGGCCGAGAACGCCGAGTGCCTGCGAGGTGACATGTTGGGATGATTGCCCTGGCTACCCGGCGGCTGCATAGAAGACAACGCACCCAGTGGTGTGTAAGACTTGCAAGGCTGTTCCGGCTTTGGCTGACGGAAAGAAAAACAGAAAAAAAACACGCGATCGTGAGGGGACACATCGTACTTATAAGGTCTTCGTGTCTAAGAGCTCCCCGTGCAATTGTCGGTTGAGTTATGACTTGTATGCGAGCGCGAGTGTACAGCATAAAATGAATATTCGTACGGCGAGAAAAAAAGAGACAGAGAGAGAGACAGAGAGAGAGACAGAGAGAGAGACAGAGAGAGAGAGAGAGAGAGAGAGAGAGAGAGAGAGAGAGAGAGAGAGAGAGAGAAGCAAACGCGCATGTTGTCTGGAATCGTCGGAAAGGGAAGCGTAAAACTCACCTGGTCGTGGAGCTCGGTGGCCACCGCGGTAGCTGCAGTCTGAGTGTGGCTGGTGGAACTGATCCTGTACTGCATACCGGCGATACTGCAGAAGCCCTCGTGATGGGTGGATCGGGTCTGATTGACGTAAACACCTTGAAAAGAATTGATGATCGTCAGGTGGGCGAGGGAGAGAGGATAGAGAGGAGATGAGATTCGCGAATGTTCACACCTAAGCCACCACGTGTGATTAATTACCTGTGATAGTGACGTCCGTGTCCTGGTTAACGATGACAACTTTCTTGGATGGCTTAATAACCTCTTCCGGATCGGAGCCTTGCCGGGGCTTCTTCTTATCTACGTCGGAGTCGTTTTGTCTACGTCTCTTAATTATCTCTACTTCCGACTCGCTGGAGGAATCACTGCTGCTACCACAACGATTTTTCTCATCGGAGTAGGAAGCAGCCAAAATGGCAGTGGCATTAAGACTGGCCATCCTCTTGCAAACGACCATGTCCTTCAGGTCCATCACCTCCTCGTTTCGCCGCCGCCTCTTGGTCATCTTCTTCTTACTCGGCTCGGCGCTCTTCTCCTTCTCGCAGTCCTCGTCGGAGGAGGACGAGGATGACGAACTCTCCAGCATGTCCCAGTGTTTGCCGCGGAGACCTGGCACGTTCCTCAGTTTCCTCTTCAGCACGTTCTCCTCAGTTTTACATTCGACCTTCTTCTCCTTCTCTTTGCGCGTCGTCGTCGACGCCGGCGGCGGCGGCAGCGGCGGCGGCTGCTGCTGCTGTTGCTGTTGCTGTTGCTGCTGCTGCTGCTGCTGCTGCTCCTCTTTCTCCTCTTTCATCTTCTTCGGCCTCTCCTTGTCCTTCTCCTTCTCGGGCTTCGGTTTGCAATAACCGCCGAGATAAACCCCCCCGGACTCGTTTTCGTAGAGGCAGTGAACTTTAGCCAAGGCATTCAATGACGCGACCCTGTGTCGTTTTGGTCCACTCCAGAAGCCAAAAAGTCGCATTCGCCGCGCGCGCTCGTCCGACGGCGAGTTGGTCCTCTCTTTGTTCTTCGCGTCCTTCCGCTTCTTGCTCTTCTTGTACTCGTCGTCGGAATCACCCTCGGAGTCGGATTGAGACGTAACGCCGCTGGCGCTCTCGCCGCCGTTCATCGCCTCAACCTTTAGGTCTAATTCGATCGTGTTCTCGGTGACGATCTGCTCCAGCTTGGAATTCACGACGGACCTCGCGTTCTCCTCGTACTCGCGCTTCGACTGTTTGCCAAATTCCTCGGAAGATGCGTCCTCCGACGCGGCCGATGTTTGATTATTGCTCTCCGTTTGTAGTGACTTGATCGCCTTCCCGCTCTTCTTCGCCGGCTTGCCGCTCATTCTGCTACTTTTGGCGGCTTTCTTATTATCCTGCACTTTGCTAGTCGCGCAAGGCGGACTCTCCTCCTTACCCTTGTCCGGATCCTTGTCCTCCTCGATCTCGCTCTTAATGTTGCTCATTTCCGGGCCTTGGCAAGCCTCGTCCTTGCCAGCGGCCTTCTTGTGTTCGGCCGCGACTTCCTCGGACTCCTTCAACTCGATCTTCCTCTTGGCCATGATTTTTTCTGTGATGCTCTTCAGCTTGTCTTCCTTCTTCAGAGCGGCGCTAATTTTCGATTGTTTCGCCGGTAGCTTGGCCTTCATATGCTTGGTCAGCTTTGACTTTTTCTCCTGCGGAACTTTACTCTTGGCGACGTTGCTGGCGCTCTTCTTCTTCGTTTTCTTCGTCGTGTCCACGTTCTCGGTCACCTCCTCGTCCTTCACCGGCTTGATCAGCTTGACCTTCTTATCCGCCAGCCTCTTGGCCACCGATAAGTGAGGCTTCTTCGTCAACACCGTTTTCCTCGCGATGCCGCCTTTCTTCTGGCCCTGCTTCGTTTTCGGATCCTTCTTTGCCTTAGCGGCGGTAATCTTATTGCTCGCCGGGTCCTTCTCCGGGATCTTTTTGCGATCGGATTTCTTGTCCTTGGCCGTAGAATTCTTGGATATTGACTTGACATCGGATTTCATCGGCTTGGCATCCTTCT